ACGCAACAGACTTATTTAACACGTTACGCGCCCTAAAGACACATAGTGTCTCTAACAGTTTCGGCAAAATTTATTTTAATTTTTTATAAATTATAATTGCTAATATAAAGGTCAAACACAAAGAAAAATTCCTTCGGTCTAATAGAAATCAATACTGCTACTCATGCCAATAATATCACAAGCGCATCTAAATGTAAAATAATTATGTACAAGCACCATTTTAAGTAAGTAATATTGTAGAAAAAAAATCATGTGAGTTACACCACTTTTGTGCTGATAGCCTCATTTGCTTTTTTCTTTGGGACATTACTTATCTCTTGTTTGTGAGTTATTTGTATGCGTATCCTTTGAATATTATAATTTTTTCTTCTTGTCATATTATTATGTACATTATAGTAATTATTTTTTGTATGTGAAACAAATTATTTTTATTTTCATGTTATAAGAGAAAATAGCAACAATGTCCGGTGAATGTAAAAAAAATACATGCTACGTGAAATTAGGTAAAGTCAGTAAAATAAAGAATTATAATAAATACTTTTGTTAACTGTACAAAGTACCAAATAATATAATAATAAAATTTCAATTTAAAAATTAAAAATACATTGGTATCTCGCTCATCCTGTTATATTTTTATTGAAAATATAATAACCCGAAAAAGTAACAAAGATTATTTATTTATTCATTCGCACAAAAAAGAACCTTGGAATATATATAATATACATAATTTATAGTATTATATATATTTATACATTATAATAAATATATATAATTTGTATTAACAATATAAAGTGAATATCAAATAAATTAACAGCCTTAAGTGAGAGATTGGAGTCAGTATTAGGTAACTAGATCTGTAAATGAATTTAACGTTGGAGATAAAATATTTCGAGGTAGAAAATTTCACCGAGTTCTGCGTCCTGGGACAACGTGCTCTGGCAACATTTCCGCGAAGTAAATTAAATAGGCATGTAAATTGAGTTAAAATTTGCGGTTCTTGCACCGGTGCATAGAAGACCTAAAATAGTCTACCAAAAACTGTTTTAGAGTAAATTCATTTCTGTTCATTTTCCCTTTAATTTTTCAATATTCTGCTGCTTGTATTAAGCTTATTAGAGTCCTTCAAGAATCAACTTAGAACCTATTTCGTTTGTCGTATTGAAATGGGACTTGAGTATTTTATTTATCATGTTCGGTTGTCAATTCCCGAAAGGAGCTTCCCCACGATAACGTACGAATCGTATACCTAGTATGTTTGGTGCACCCTGTGCAACAGTCAGCGAGTACCTTATGCCAATTGGCAAACCCTTTCACCAATATAGCAAACATACCCCATGTAAAGTACATCATGGCCGCTACATGTAACAGAACCAGCGTGGCTAAGCTCTGCTAGTGTATGTCATTGATACGGTAAGAAGAAGTAGAAGAATATTTGTTATGTGTTTTGTAAATTCACATTTATCCCAAAATTTGCAAATAGCTCAGCAGCATAATAACACGCTGCGCCACCCGCTGCCGTCGTCCCGTTGACGTCGGATCTGTTTCAAATATTGTCCTGCTGTTCTGGTTTAATCATATCAAATTACAGCAGCGCGCTGATTGCGGGACGAGATGGGCGGCCCCCACAGACCTCATCTCCTAAAATCTAGGCTCGCGTTGAAATACTTCGCCTTAAACGGGGGACAACTTTTTCTTCGATGACAGTCATATTTTTATCTTTTAGCTCAAATTATATGTCCGGGAGTGCATTATCGAAGAAATACAAAGAGTTGTGTCTATTTTGCTTCTCAATTAGTAGGTTGATGGTTCAAATCCCAAAGGCAACAATTTCTAACAAGCAATATGATTATACACTTCACTACTAAGTAGGCGGATGTCTGTAGATCCCATTTTGTATTAAAGCCGAAGGCAGCAATGGAATTCCACTAGCGGCCCCATAACTCCAAACATCACGCTAGCAACTATTCGCAACAGCAAAACTACTTCATAATGAGCATTCCCAATCGAAACTATCTGGCAAGTCCAATATTGTCGTTGTATCGCCGTTTTTGAGGACAAATTGTTTTGTCGAGTATCTGACGTTGTTATGTTCAATTTCATTGTAAACTTATTGCTTTAGGGACACAAACGATAAATATTAAAACGAAATCGAAAAAGCACTCTCACTTACTTATGAAGCGGCAAAGTGCAAGCTAGGGTGGATAGATTTGAAGGCTGACACTGTGCGTGGTACGTCAAAGTTTGGATCTATGACTTTAAGTTCTAAATTATGTGCATTTGGGATTGTTTAGTATTGCATGCATATCAAAAACGGTTTACAACTTTTGGAAAACGTGTGAAATTTCCAAGTCGTATTAAGCCTCTGTGGTGTAGTATGACCTTAATCTTCTACCTAGATAAGACTCGTGACAGCATTGAGACGTATTATGGATTGTTTAATGATGATGATAGGTTTTTCCAAAGCATTTGCAAAGTCTTCTTCACAGAACAAGTTGCTCAGGGTGCACTAGACGCACATTAAAGAAATGAGAAGTTGTGCGGGGAGGCTACTTTCGTGCACAATTTTTGCCAAAATATAGATGTTATCACAATTTTCACTTATATGACTTTTGAATCTGAATCTTAGGAGAATGAAATGCGCAAATTTACTACGGACGACGTAAATGCATTTTCTTTTTATTATCTTATTTTATTTGTATCTGGCACACTTTCAAAATGAAGTTTAGTAATAAACAGAGATCGGAATTTGCTTAATTTTCAAGTAATACGCAAAGATGTAGGATAGTGGATATTAATCTTCCTGTAAAAAATGAACAACCAAAATAAAACAGTTATATTTTTACTGACAATTACACGTATTACGGCGGAAGTGTTAACAACTATATTATGTATTATTTGCTGGAAATTTAGATATACTCTGCCTATCCTGATCTCTGGTAATAAATAATACCGAAGTACCTATTTACACTCGATTCAGTGTATAAATTCTTACAATGGTATTTCTCTATTCTCGACTGTTATCTCCGTACTCCATTAGAAAAACCCCCCACAAATGTGAAAGCATCAGAAGCTGAAAGAAGCATTAAAGAATCGTTCGCTGATATCAAACTGTGCTTCGCTGACGTTAAAATAGAAACTATCAAGAAATGCTCATATGATTGCTTTGTTAGAAACGGATGAAATATCATTACAGTTTTACTGTATGTAGTTAGATTTATTGGAACAGGTTGAATGGTGTTTTCTTTTGTTTCTGAGGTAAACTATAAGTATAATTATTATTTAAGAAAGTTGTCTAAACTGTATTATGCACTATAGGTAATTCACAATTTGCGATTAATATTTATAATCTTCATCTGCTTTTTCAACTCTCAAAATTTTTTTAAGAAAGCCGTACCACTCCTTCGCTTAACTAATTTATATAAAGTGGTCGACCTTAGACCTGAATTTATGTCCGCTTCACAAACTCACAAATCAATTCCACCGTAATCTCAAGTTACAACCAATACCATTGAACCGTAACTTTAAACTTCCCTAACGACCGTTAGAAAACTTTAAAATTCGCCATATCTTTTCCCAAGCTCTGCAGGGACCACATTTTATCAATGAAAATCAAATATAACACTGCCACGTTCGTACAATCCCGGTGTGAACTAAACACATATCTTATATCCTCGATTTAATACAGACTTTATGTCAAGTTAATACAGAATAGTCTAGATTGCACCGTTTTGATTTAATGTGTAGCTCGCGTTCTCGGGTATACAGTCACGTACTATATTGCTCCGATCTCGCTCGTCTGCTCTCACCTGAAACTGGAAGATTCATGCTGCAAATAACGTTGAACTATAAAAAAGAATTTTAAATCTTCAAGGCGTTATAGTCAAACCCCTTATGGAATGATTAGCAATTACCCATAATGGATCCAATTCGTTATTAAACGATCAGGCAGAAGCTTTCCACTGATTAAAAAGTAAATAAGAGCTTTATTACAGGAATACATCAAACAGAACTTACTTTTGCTCTATCGTAGTTCTAAACAAAACACAGCAGTTTATATGCAAATAATTAAGTTACACTTGTAATTTTTGACCTCTAACCGCACTCACCACTTGAAAAGTTCAACTATCAAGACCCGACATTAACACATAACCCTCTGAATTTAAGTGCCTAACGGAGAAGATACTCTCATATTTCATAATTTATCTTATATAGGGTGTAACAAAAAAGTACGCTCGTAATTCCGCTGTTAATCGTACATAATAATGACAAAAGGCTTTAGCAAAAAATATTTCGAATTATTAAAAATAAGGTCGGCCTGCTTTATTACAACCTGTATAACAATTAATTCCTAAACATAGTTTAAAGTTTAGCTAATTAATCGGAAGTACTTTATCTTCAACGCTCTACTACATAATCTTTTGATGAACTCTACATATTATCAGACAGCATTCATTGCTGCTTCTAAAACTATTTTGGATCTGAAAATGTCAACAAAGACTTTGATGTATATAAAATATAGCGATTATAACTGGTTGTCTCATATTCACAGTTGATTGGAGTATCCTCTGTTAGAAGTTAAGGAACGCAGTCGAGCTCGGAAACTTAGAAACTTGCCTAAATCGATGGTCCGTAAATAATGAAGAGTCGTTTATATATACATTATATCCGTGCCCAACTATGCTAGTGATTTGTCATCGAAATTGGAGCCTCAATCAGGTCTGCTACCTTTGAGAAAATGGGGCGCACGTGATTAGTTTCAAAGCTCTTCTTGTAATAAATTTGATTCTAGAAATTGGTTGGCTTTTTACTTATTAGTACAATAAAATGTATGGTCAATCGTTTCAGATTTATAATAAATAACACGCAAATAGCAAAATGGTTGTTTTTCGTTTCGTACGATTTCTTATAAATAGAAGTCAAATTTCCTTATCAAAGCATTAACGACTAATTCCCAACAAGGTCTTCATTGCTGATTGGCTCTTAAAACAAATACGGCTTAGTCATATATCTTCTTTATTACTATCCAAACACAGTAAAGCATTTCTACATTCTTCAGCTGAACACAAAGGAGTATCAACTTGCTCCGTAGAACCTAACCTCGAAAAATCCACATCATACATATCTTTATCTAAATCATAACAAATCATAGATGTAAAACGATGTCCCCATAAAATATCATGTTTGGTATAACTAGATTTCGCTTGTACTGGTTGTCCAGTAGTTTCAATTACTCCTTCAAATACTACTAAAATTTCTAAAGCCCCACACAGCAAATCAGCAGCAGATATATTGTACAAAGGACTACGCTCGTCTATTACATGTATCACTGATAAAGGCCACAGAAAAAATGTAGACTCACAACCTTCTATTTTAGTCGCTAAGCTAATTTGCTCATTGCTATCTACAAATTCATCCTTATCATTTGTCTTCAAAACAAATGCAGCTACTTTAATATTCAGTATTCTGGACTTCCTCATATCACCGACTCTAAATACAAGACATAATTCTTCATCTCTAGAGTTTATAACAGCTTGTTTACTGAAAAGAATAGTTTGAGCCCTGGATTTTGGTCTAGTCAACTTTGCGAACAAAATACCAACCAAAAAGGCTTGGCATATAGAACTTAAGATGCATTGTAAACACATAGCAACAATAGCTTGTGGACATTCTAAAGTTATAGATCTTCTACCATAGGCAACTGTAGTATGGACTTCGACACTAAAAAGAAAACTAGATGTAAATCCGTAAATATGTTCGACGCACGGTACCCAGGTGTTATTGTTGGAAGAGAGATGTTCCTCTAACAAGTCTTCATGTTTCCAAGCGATGAACCAGTAGACGAAACCGAAGAACATCCAATCAATGGTAAAGGCCATAAAGAAATTGATTAATGTCCATCGCCATCTAGCTTCAACCATTGTAATGAACCAGTTCGAGAGAAGAAACTTATTGGAGATAGCTTTTTCGATGTTCAACTCTCCATTTCTGAAGACAATTCGTTTGTGGTGCCGAGAATAGTTTCGGGTGTGATGAACTGATCCTGAAAAGATGTAATTGCTATTCTCAAATACTAAAGCTTCAAAGAAAAAGAGGATTAAGATGACTAAACACAAACGTTACAATAGTTTCTATAATAGTTTCCGTATTTACATTTAAAAATTTTTCTTTTTCACTAAACGCTCCTTCAATATTAGACTACAAAGACCTATAAAGCTAGGAAAAGAAACTACTTACTTTTTCTTGGATAGTAAACCCCGGGCGTCACTGCCATATCCTCATTCAAAGATTCCTCATCTTGATAGAACGCGACCTCTCTCTTTCTCATGGATTTGGTCTCCATTATCCTAGAAATAAAACAACAATTACCTTAAAATTGCTAAGTTAAATATTTTGTTAAACGTTAAATGAGAAGTTAAATAAAACAATTTTAGAAGTTTTGATGTATGTGGGAACTCCATTATTATAGGGTGCCACAGATTAAATTCAAAGCACTTGCCTGTACTTAAATAAAATTTCTAATATTCCGCTGTAGTACGTTATAAAACTAAGACACAATCGTCGTAACTAAATCATACGAAAATAATTTTCTAAGAATAGAATTACAGATAATATTGTTACTTATATAGGGTGCCTATAAATAAATTAGTATCATTTTACACCCAATAAGTGTTGTCTGGATAATAGTTCGGTTTTTACAATATGGTTATATATACAATCTCGTTGAAATGACACAGAATGGAAACGTCGAGAAAAATACGTTGACTAGATTGAGGATGTCCTTTAAAAAGGCCAGACCAAACGTTCGCAGAGACGACTAGCATCTACGAAAGGATTAAAACAAGTGAAGGAGGCGAAGGACTGCATATACCTGGGTAGTCGCAAATAGTGGAAACCTATAGTAAATATGAGTTTATCTTTTGAAACTCTACTATGAACGTTCACACTCTATATAAGGCTGACGTAGAAGATAAGATAATAGTTACCTGTATTTATTTTGAGATTCAATTGAATTTAATTGTTACACTTTCACTATTTACGTAATTTTATTAGATACAAACTTGGTAATATATGTATTTAAGTTCACTACCTCTTCAGGCACAGACAATACACTAATCAGAACAGGCAAATCTTAAACTACCGTACAAATATGCAAAACAATGTAAAGATTCTTTTGTTTTTACATTATTTTGTAATAATTAAGGTGCATCTAATACTGTGTGATAAAAAAACACCATGTAATTGAAGGGACCTTGTTTGATTAAGATATTATTATGCAAGTTTATTATATTAAAGAAATTAATAAGTTATGTCTATTAGCAGTTTTCCCAAATATACTACATTTCGTTGAAACCATGCTGCGTCACGACAATCTCACTCGACGATATCGGTCATTCAGTTTTTGTAAATACGAGTAAATTTTATGCAAAATTTCGTACCAAAATTTCTTAGTATTTGCAAACGCAATAAATTGAATTGCAAATATTTCTTCACGTTTTCACGGGCATAGGATCGTCGTAATATACATTTTTGACAAAAACAGAAAGAAATTGTTACTAGAAAAGCAGATATTATTGTATTCAGGCGTATCATTGACTTACAAATAAATGGACGACGGGTCTAATACAAAAACCACGAAAAAAATGTCCCAAGTCAACCTATTTAAACGTAGTAACATGTAAAGGAATATGAGAAAGCTAAAACGTTGAATTTAAATTGTAATGTCATCGCAGTACTATCTAATTTTGCTTGCTTCGCTGTCAGTCGAACACACGAATACTAAAGCGTGAATGACGCTCTGTATACGATTTTAACGCCCTATAAGTTCGGACACTTTTTAGCGCGGACCCGACGTCCATATAATTGTAAGTCAATGACGCGTATTTAAAAAATGCAAATCAACTTGTATGTAAATATAATTTTCGAAATTGTCAATTATTAATTTTCAATTTTATTATTGATTAAAGTGTTGTTTACTGTACTGTATACAGAGTCTTGAATGTTTAATAAGGTTCTTGCGTTAACAGAGCACACCTTGTCATTTCTTACAGCATTAAATGCATTTTATAATATAGGTCGTCATATCATCACGGCTTTCAACTTTATTTCAATAAACAAAACGTTACAGCCCATAAAAAGAAATCACGCGGAGTGAGCTCCCGGTGATTTGACTCGTTGACAATATACTGGCTTCATGGCAAAAACTGTCGCAAGTCACGCGCGTAATGATGTGGTGCACCATCCTGTGTGTAACGGCAAGAGACACATCTAAAATTCGGTAATCACACACTGCTACATACTGAGATAGATGCCTCCAGCTCCGTGTTTCTCAATAAAATTCACATTTACACTAAAGCACCCTAAATGCACAATCTTCTCTCATACGTGGTTTTTGAAACTACTTGTGCTCGTTGTGGAAATTCAAAAGTTCGACTTTGCATGTGACGTGCTGCTGCTCACTTGCTCGTTTCTCCTGAAAATATTAATGTCAACTTCGATGGATATTTTTTGTTTTTGTAATATAAGTTGGTAGTATAAACCGACCATAACTGTTCTGGAACCCCTGGGCTCACCAAGCCTTGAACTCGTAGGTGATGCTGACCATATCATGGAGTTTTTGAATTTCGTAAAGGCTCTCTCTATCGTCAATGTGTACATGGTTCATCTCGTAATACTCGTAACGTGACAGATGCTTAAACGAGAATGTCAAATCATGTGTGCATTTGCGTTATCAGGCCATTGCAGAGCTATTGTCGACGGCGGCGATGCCCGTCGAATTTCTCTCTTTCCTCATATGCTTTCTGCGTAATGTATTTATGTAATTTTTACTTTACTCTATTCGTGCGCTAATTTTAATGAGAGACAATTTTTGAAATAAACAATACTGAAAAAATATTTTCATTAATGTCTTCTATTTTAGTGACCCATAGTGGGTAGAAATATACAGTGTTTTTAACACTACATTTAAGTAACAAAGTTATTAAAAAACCTTTTATTTTTTAAATATATAGAAATTTAATAAAGGTTCCGTTCAACCCTTCGTTTTATTAAAAATAATTAAAATCACAAATCTTTTGTTTGTAAAATGCGAACGGTTAATAATAATGGACCGAGTATCGCTCCCTGGGGTATATTTTGCTATCCAGTGAATAAATAATCTGAGGCAGTGAATAATTATAAATTTTAATCTATATTTACAAGAATGCATAATTTCAGATTACTTTTGGGTTATGGTTATGAACGATGATTCCAATGTGTTTCTTTACTCCTATACTTATGATTTAACTTTAAGTGGAGATTTATTAGAATTATAAACAAAACAACAATATAACGTAATTAAAGCACATTAAAGAAGGAACTTTAAAGGAAAAAAAAATACGTGACGTCTACACTAAAAAAATGTGTGTTAATAATCGTCAAATTATGTTAGCGGTAGATGAAAATAACAACTTATAGGATTAAGCACATATGTATTGTATGAACGCAATTTAAAGTTGTAGAATTCAAATCAATAAACTCAAACAAATCTCTTAAATCATCAAAACCAAAGCACTTAATAATAATGGACCAAAAACGGCTCCCCGGGGGAGAACTCTAGAACAAATCTATTGCTATCATCAGCTCCCCTATCGCATAATTCATTACAACATTACCTAACGTAAGAAAATGTTTGGAAAGCATCCGTTTTATCGAAAGCCGGGTCGTAGTAGCTCGAAATTGTAGGGTTTTGGGGCAAATCCTTATAGTGGTACACTATCAAAAGCAAATGGGAAATCTTCACATTCATAAGTATTGAAGAACATTATCCGCCACTTTAAAATATACCTATGTATGTGTATACTCAATAAAGTCATATACTTCAATTTTCATGTCACATATCTGTATAGATAAGTGTATTTAGAGGAATATAAATTAAACTTTGAATCAATAGTACCAATATGGTAATTATATTGCCCAAGATGTTAAGTACTAAGACAGTTAAATAAGTACTGGTTGCTCAATAGCCGGAACGTGTAATTCTAAACTAAAATATACAAAACCAGACAATAGACAAGATATACAATTTTGCCATTATGCAACATCTTCTGGGAAATACCGGGTGAAAAGGGATTGTGACAGATGACAGGCAATCCCTCCGCATCGGCGATGTTTGTCATTCTATTAGCAAGGAAAACATCTTCAGTCTGGCTATAGTTTCCTATTCTTTGCCCTTCCTACAGGATGTTTGGGATGATATGCGTGAAATTGAAAGAGATACTGTGATAGTTTTGTTTTTCGTGTACATTAATTTGTTTGGGAAATAAGTGTTAATTCCGTACTCAATTTGAATCAAACACTTAGAAATTAATACAATTTTGTCGAAAATATCTTTATCACTACGAAGAAAATATGGTGTTAAAATGAAATCCATGTTCAGCAGCGTGTAATTGTGAATTGATAGAGGAGCAAATGTTAAAATATTTGGGATTTTTATTATTTCTTAATTGATGATCACTTTCTATTATTTCCAACGGGTTTTGCTTTAAGATAATATTCACGAAAATCAATTGTACGACCGATTCCAATCGTTTACATATATGATATGAATACATGTGAATTAATGTAAAAAATTAAAATACAGTTTTAATTCGAATAGCGAAGAATTATTTCGTTTTTCATTTCCCACTATTATTACTACTAAAATAAACAATTGTATTATGATTTCACGAAATGTTCATTTATTTTATTTCTGCTGTCAGCTTTCCTTTTCACACGTCCCAAAACATACAAGTGCAAGGAAGATTATTTGTTTTATCATATCCAAACAATAATAATAATAATTAATTTGTGTGATTTCATTAGAACGTTGGGACTTATTTGCGAAAGGAACACAGAAATTGTTACTGGATCCCTTTGTAGGAGCCAGTATCTTACTGTTTTGGATGTCTATATAATTGTAATGAAATCTATGCCTTATCCCTTAAGCTTTAGGTTCAGTAAAAGAAACTTTACGTATAATATAGAAACAATCACAGAAAATGCCTACATAATATCTTGAACTCACATACGAAGCCACCTCTTACGTCACCATTCTTTGTACAAATACTTTAATAGCCTGCGTCTTAGGGGATTAAAACATATTAGAATATGCTGCATAGTGACCAGATAACCATAATTTAAGTGTAACATAATTCATTGCTGCACAGCCATGATCACTCATTTTATATATCCCACTATTAGGGCCAGACACGTGGGATGGAGACTTCGCACATTTTCCAAAGATTGTGACCATTCTTTGACTTGCCTACCATAACCTTTTCAAAAACAATCTTATTTCAAGGAAAGTTTAAAGTAAGCTTATTATACTTAATTATATTATATTATATAAAATTAAACTAGTGGAGTAATTTCACAAAAAATAATTGAATATCAATTTAATAAAAATTTAATTAATACAGTGAATAGCGACATCTCTCGCCAGGACTGGCAGCTGTAAAGGTACTAACTGGGTGATACATCTCTCATAGATGGCGCTACGACTAAAAAGTCGTTGAAAAACCAAGTACAAAGACACGACGTAAGCACATAGAAAAATTCGTGAGGTCCGTTGGTTCGTTCCGTGGCTTAGTTGGTATAGCGTCTGGCACGGTATGCAAGAAGATGTCGGTTCGAATCCAACCGGATCGAAGGAATTTTTTCTGAGTGTTCGATCTTTGTATTAATAATTATAACAAACTAGTGGAGTAATTTCACAAAAAATAATTGAATATCAATTTAATAAAAATTTAATTAATACAGTGAATAGCGACATCTCTCACCAGGACTGGTAGCTGTAAAGGTACTAACTGGGTGATAAATCTGTCATAGATTTCTCATAGATGGCGCTACGACTAAAAAGTCGTTGAAAAACCAAGTACAAAGACACGACGCAAGCATATAGAAAAATTCGTGAGGTCCGTTGGTTCGTTCCGTGGCTTAGTTGGTATAGCGTCTGGCACGGTATGCAAGAAGATGTCGGTTCGAATCCGACCGGATCGAAGGAATTTTTTCTGAGTGTTCGATCTTTGTATTAATAATTATAACAAACTAGTGGAGTAATTTCACAAAAAATAATTGAATATCAATTGAATAAAAATTTAATTAAGCTCATTATAATATTACTCATATTAGTACCATGATAAACCTGTCAACCAAGTAATGTATTATTGCTAAAGTGATTGAAATAACAAAATGATTTTATAATTGTTTATTCCTTACTAAAAAATGAAAGAAATAACGCTATATGCTTTTGTATAGTGCCATATCTTTCTTTTTTGGTGTTCCGAATCGTCTAATCGCAGCATAATGTTTAAGAACTTAATGTTATTTACATTCAGAGATATTCAGAAAGTATGTAATAGTAAAATCTGTTAAAATTACGTTGTTTTCAATTATTTTTCCGCGTTTTCATGAAGAAAAATAAATAAAACAAACTGAGTCTTGATTGTCACGTTGTGTATTCGGAATTATAGTCTAATGTCAACTATTAGTATCGCCAAGGAGCATATAGATGTCGCTGTCATAATTTTACGAAATAAATATCGCGTATTTTTATTTAAAGACAAATTATTTCCTATGTACTACTAAACAAAAAAAATGAACAAAATATTGAAGAAATTATATAATTTTACTTAATAACTAAGTTCAACTTCACTTTTAATTGTTACAGATCAATATTTAGACAATAAATTCGAAAATAATATTGTTTCCACTGCGTCCGAGTAACTATTTTAAGATTGGTAAATTTGACAAAAGAACAATATTACTTTAAGTGTTTTCATACACCGTTAGAGAGAAGTTTAGTGTTGTTATTTAATATTCACAAATGCCTTTGCTGTAAAAAAGGGATTATTTTAGAAAAAAATTTCATTTGCTTTAAAGCTTTGAAATTTCTGTTCCAAGACCGAAGGCAGGCCATTTAGAGCTTTAACACAACACAAGTTGGTTTCTAGCGAATTACCAATTTATTTACTTATTTTCTTTATAATATCAAGCGACGGGACGAACAAATCGTGCGCCTGATGGTAAGACAGGTGCACGCCTGTCCATAACAGTTGCAGTGCCACTCAGAGTTTTAAATGTCAAGATCAGTGGGACTTATCCTAGACCAAACTCTTTCGAAAGCTACAGCCACTATACTAATGACCTGCATCCGTTATACTACTGACATACCTTCTCCACTTCGTCCATTTTTTTCATACAAGTCCGTTGATTCTTGATGTTTTTGTCTCTTCCAAGGACACCCTCAATTTACTCTGACTCGGTCTGTATCTCAAATGTTTAAGAGTAGTGGCTCCAATATGGCAACAGACACTGGTTCGAGTCCAGTCAGATCGTAAGGAATTGTTTTTTGCGTAGTTCGATCTTTGTATCAATAAATCCTCAATTTAATTTATATATAAGTACGCCGAGCAACTTTTCGTTACATTTCCTCATGTTACGTGTAAGCTTAGATTTTCATAACCATATTAAAACGGTTTTTCATTTCATCATCATCGTGATACAGATATTAATACATCCTTTTAAAATAAGAAATACTAAGTGTAAGACAGCTGAAGCACTCGTCGAGTGGCGCGAAGAGCTCTCGTCGCGAGTGTGGCTTGGGAGTATAAATTATTAGTGTGAATGAAATAAATGATTTGAAAA